CAGGTGGTTTCTCGGAATCAAAAGATGGTGTTGTGACTTTTCCTGATATTAGTACCACGATTCTAGAGAAGATCTGCCAGTACTTCTACTGGTCTCTTCAATATTCCAGGTTCATTATCTATCTCGCTTTGCACCTCGGGCTCGAGCTTGATCTCTCGAACATGGCTTTGTCGACTCTATTAGTTTTTTTTTTTTGTTTTTCCAGAATCCAATGGTCTAATAAATCGGTAAGAATAGACGCCCTCTAGAGAAATAGTTTCATTCCAAAATCTTTCTCCCTTGTATATCGATTCAATTCTCAGGAAAATTGAATCATTAGGAGTCTGTTGTGATTGCAGTAGAAGGGAAAGTAATATTGTTTTAAGAACCTGCTTCTATTCTCATTAATTTATCTCGATATACCAATGAATCGGAAGTGTTCTGTTTTCTAGATGATGGATTAAAAAAGATGGAATCAAGTTACTTCTTTATCCACATCTTGCTCTCTTCTTATAGTCGTCTGTTCTCTAACTACTGGATATTAAAACGTTCCTCGTCTTACAGAGGCAAGGAGACCGAGTTTCACATCGAGCCTGAACTGACTCTGGAGCTGATGATGGCTGCTAACTATCTTCACACCTAAGGAGTTAAAATCGATAACGCTGCTGAATCTTATTCGAGTGGTATAGTTTCGCTTTGGTGGGGGCATAGACTGTAAATCCCTGGAGCACTTCTGTGGGGTTTACTATGTTGGTTTTATAGAAATCTGCATTGGGTCCATGAAGAACTATTGAATAGTAGCTCCGAGGGAAAGCTAGTGTACTTCTTTACTAGTTTCTTATTAGTTTCGAATTCAACATCAAAGTTTTTGTATCTTACTAGTTGCTTATATTGAAACAGCTTATCAAGCTTTGTAATAGTATGCAATAAACATTCTATCCTAATAAATGATTTGGTTTGGTGCTGAATCTGTGGGATAAGGTTTTGGGCCACTTATTTTGTGGGCCGTGAGCCAATATCAGGCCCATTACGAAATTGTCTCATAAAGCCCAAATGCAGATCAATTTCCTAGTAAAGGAGGAATAATAGATGTAGAATCTATATAAAGAATGAGAACAAGATCAGAAGGTGGTGTCGTGAGTTTTTAGGGGTTTTCCAGAGATTTGATAGCTCTTCCAGTTTGTAAGCATACCTGCAAAAGGAAACAAGTACAAATTAGGCTTAATTTGTAATTCAAACTCTTGGATTTAATAAAAGTCT